GAATGCATCTCTAAGATTCCTCCATTTCTTTTCTATGCTGTTTCCTATAATTAATTAATAATTTGAATATCGAATCTCAAATTACATACAACAATAAACTATTTAATATATACGACGATATAATATAATGCATTTAACTGTAGCAGTGGGGGTGTTTAAAATGTAGCTACCAATACATATTATATTATATTATTTAAATAATCTAAAAAATATCAGAGTTCAAAAATGATATGTATTCTATATATGGTTTTCGACGCTTCCGCAAAATGTGGTCGCGGGCCATCATTAAATGACTGTTTGTTTCCCGGGCCTAAGCTGCAGCAAGATATCGTAGACATCCTAACACGGTTCCGCGTACATAAATATGTTTTCACAACCGACATTTGTAAAATGTATCGGCAAGTACTGATTTTGCCAAAATATCGTAAATTCCAACATATTTTGTGGAGAGCGTCACCACATGATAAATTGCTCGATTATGAATTAAATACGGTCACATACGACGTTAATTGTGCACCGTACCTCGCATTGCGCGTGTTACAGTCAATTGCTTCCGATGATTGTACTGAGTCCGAGTGGGTGCAGGCACGGACTAAGGGGGGGGGGGGCAGAGGGGGCGCGTCCCCAGGGCCCACAACGTTATGGGAACCCAAGGAAAAAATTAAGAATTCTTATTATCATTGTCACAAAAAATTAAGTTATTAAAAAAAATTATATCTTATAAAATTAAATAATTAAGTATGTTTTTGTAGTATGTACAGCATTTCACTATTACTACAGAATAAAGAAATTACAGATATTATAGTGTGTATTTCTATTCTCGATAGTTGAGTTTGATAAGAAATATCAATAGTTTTATTATTAATTTATTATGAATACGAGTTATTATTGTATATAATCTATTTATAGACTGTTGAGCCTTATTTATAGCGTGTATGGTAAATGCCCCTATAGTGATTACTCTATCTCTGACAGAATAATGCATGATAAATTGATAACTAATAATACTTATTGTGTTATTATTTTAAATCGTGATTATTGGTTAGGTTGACTGTTGTATTTTTGTTGTGTATTTATTAGCTGTTCTTTCAAACGATAGTACTCGTCGAGTAATTATTTATTTCATTTCTTTTAATTTGTATTACCTATTTTACAATGAATGAAAAAAAAAATACATGAGTGAATATCAAAAAAGGAAACTAAAAGAAAAAAAAATGAATTGACTGCTGCATTGCCAAAGATTACTGGATATTTTAATAATAATAATTGCGATTTATTACCAAGTAAGTTATAATTTAAATTTTTAAGCAACATATAATATAATATTAATTATACTAATTATATATGTATAATATAGTACAGTGTTGATTTTCTAGTCCATTTTTTTACCTATTTAATATATATATATATATATATATTATATATATAAGTGTACTATTCATTGCTTAAACAATTTTCAGTTAATAATGATAAAATTGATTCAGCTGTTGCAAATGAGGCAGAATTACAAATGTCTGAAAAATGTGATACTACTCCTGAAAGTGTTGAATTGAATACAAATGATTATAATGTAAATTCATCTTCATATATTGTCCATATTACTGGCCAAGTGAAGTTCATAATAAATTCCTACAATTTTGTGTAGATAAAGGACCAGAATTCTTCCAAAATAAAATTAATAATTTTAAGCAATCTGCCCGTTGTGATGGTAAATTATAATGTAACTTCAGTATACAAATAACACCTAATTAAAATATACTGTTTAAATAGAAAACATATTTAATCTATAATATAAAAATGAATCGCAAAATGTGTTGGTAAGCGCATAACTCAACAACGCCTGGACCAATTTGGCCAAATCTTTTTTTCAAATGTTCGTTGAAGTTCAATGATGGTTTTTACGGCGAGAAAAATTAGAATTATTGCTGGAAAAACCCTAAAAATAACCCTTTTCTTTTTCCCATACAAATGATTTGTAACTAAAACGTAGTCAATTTGAGCTTTATTGCTATGGTATAAAGTTCATATTAAACTAGCTGGTTTACCCGGCTTCACCCAGGAGGTATTCAACTATTATATATAAAAAAAATGAGAATGAAAAAAATACAATTTTCTTATATTATACCTTTTTTATTTATCTATATATATATTGGCTTCGCAACTTCTTATCCAATTCTCATACAGTTTTTTTTAAATGAAAGAGGATATCACGGTTTTAGGCATAAATAAAGTCCGATAATGTTAGTCAATAATAAGTTATCTATACATATAATCCAAATACCACTGACTCACTGATCGCTGTATCTCAAAAATTATTAACTACTCAACGTAAGTTTATCGATAAAAATAATCTCATGCATCGCGCGTACACCAATACTCCTATTTTATTATAATGAACGATAAAATGCACACCGATAACATAAACCAATACACATACAAATTCTATTTGTAGAATTAATTTGGACTTGTGTATAAAGTTATAAATATAGTTTCGATTTATTCTTATCTACACGACGACGACGACGAACAAAAAGGATAGGTTGCAGGTAGCTGGAAACCCGCGGGCCGCCGTGCCGCACAATACGTATTGGCAGTTTAATGTCGCGTTCCGAACCTCGCGTTTCTTTTGTATTAGTTTCGGCACGCGAGATAAAATGCATCAGTTTCCACGTCATTACATCAGTCAAACAAAAATCGCGTTACCAACAGTGTTTTATTATTTTTAAATAAATAAAACAATTCGTACGGCTTAAAAGGATTTGACTTCAAGTCATATCAAATTTAAAAAAAAAAAAGTTGTCTGTTACCTAATCTACTGGGTTTGCTTTTGTCAACTGATACACGAAACAAATTCGTATATCGTGTTTTGTGCAGAGTGTTTAGTTAGTTAGTGTTTGTTTAGTTCGTGATTAGTGAAAAAATAATTTATATTTGATATGCCTCCTATAAGACGAAGCAATTTAGGTAGAAGAACCAGAAATGCTACAAACCAAGCTAATTACCGATCTAATCGTACTGCACAAGAACGTGACGACGGAAATGAACGTGAAAGAATTCGGATATCACAAACGCGTGAAGCGCGAGCGCGACATTCAACTAATAATCGCGCAAGTTTGAATCGAGCTGCTTTCAGTTACGATGTGTCAATTGACTACAGTAACTACCAATGTGTTGTTATTGGTTCTATGAACTCGGTTTGCTCACACTGTAAGGCATTAAAATACAAAAACGAAGCCAATGGATTGTGTTGCGCAAATGGTAAAGTGAAATTGATACCATTGGATCCACCACCAGAACCATTGTACTCATTGGTTTCAGGAATAGGAACAGATTCTATACACTTTTTGACACATATCCAACAATATAACAATTGCTTTCAAATGACTTCATTTGGGGCAACAAATGTAATTCGGGAAAATTTTATGCCAACTTTCAAGGTATGTATTATAGCAGTTACTCATAATTATTTTAGCGAACAAAATTTTCTGTCACCAAAGTTAAGATGTGTGACTAATCTTCAATTTCTTAATCATTACGAAATATATCACTTAGTCATCATATTATATGGTGATTCAGTTTCAGTGACACTTTTATTATATTTTATATTTGATAGATATGTATTAGTTAAAACTAAATATATACTTTTTAAGATCAAATATTATTTAAGTTTGATCACTGACAATCCATTAATTTATACCACACCATTTTTTTTATTTACAGATACAAGGGCAAATATATCACAGAGCAGGTTCACTGTTACCAGTGTCAGATAGCGACAACAAATTCCTGCAAATTTATTTTATGGGCAATTCACCACAAGAAATTGATCTGCGTTGTGCACATAACAATTTAGTAAAGAGGTCTATTGTAGAACAATTACAAACTTTATTTCATCAACACAATCAATTGATTATATTGTTTAAAACTGCACTGGATCTGATGCCATCCGATAATCACAAAATTGTAATCAGAGCTGATAAAACACCTGCAGGTCAACATACAAGACGTTTTAATGCACCAACTATTGATGAAGTTGCTATCGTTGTAGTTGGAGAAAACTTGGAATCCCGTGATATTGTTTTACATCATCGGAATGATCAATTACAACGTATAAAGGAAACACACCGCTCATAGGATGCACTGCAATATCCCATTATATTTTGGCAAGGTGAAGATGGCTACGATTTTCAATAAAAATGATAAATCCCATTACAGGTAACTAAAATATTAGTTTAGCTATGGCGATAATATCTCAGTCATTATATTATGTATTTTAATTTTATATTTGAATGTTATTAAAACAAAATCTATTTACAGGTTCTGAAACCAACAAAAAAGTCAGTTCAATGAACTATTATTCATACCGCCTAATGATTCGGGAAAATGAAGATAATCACATATTAAAATGTCGGCGATTATATCACAAATATGTTGTTGACATGTATGTTAAAATTGAAACGGAGAGATTAACATTCATCAGGTTGAATCAAACCAAACTCCGATCTGAAGAGTATATTCACCTTCGAGATGCGATTAATACTGATGGAAATGCACAGAATGTCGGTCGGATGACTATTCTTCCAGCAACATACATCGGAAGCCCTCGGCATATGCACGAATATGCTCAAGATGCCATGTCGTATGTTCGTCATTATGGTACAGCAGATTTGTTCATCACATTTACATGCAATCCGCAATGGATAGAAATCAAGCAGGAGTTATTCTCTGGGCAATCACCCATTGATCGTCATGATATTACAGCCAGAGTCTTTAGACAAAAGTTGAAATCTTTAATGGATTTCATCGTAAAACATAATGTGTTTGGTGAGACACGCTGCTGGATGTATTCTGTGGAATGGCAGAAACGAGGATTGCCACATGCACACATTTTGATTTGGTTGGTTGAAAAGATAAGGCCAAATTAAGTTGATGCAGTGATATCAGCTGAAATCCCTAATGTACAAGTAGATCCTGGATTGCATGAGGTAGTTATCAAAAACATGATACATGGTCCCTGCGGAACTCTTAATCAAAATTCACCGTGTATGATGGATGGTAAATGTTCAAAACGATATCCACGGACATTAATATCGGAAACAATTACTGGTAATGACGGTTATCCATTGTATCGTCGCAGATCGACAGCAGACAATGGAAAATCAACAATTGTCAAATTAAATCAACAAGATATTGAAATAGATAATCGTTGGATTGTTCCATATTCACCCATTTTATCAAAGACATTCAAATCACACATCAACGTTGAATCTTGCCATTCAGTGAAATCTATTAAATACATTTGCAAATATGTAACCAAAGGGAGTGATATGGCTGTGATTGGAATTGGTGCAGAGAATTCCAATGATGAAGTTACCCAATACCAAATGGGCCGCTATGTCAGTAGTAATGAAGCAGTTTGGCGAATATTTTCTTTTCCTATTCATGAGAGACACCCTTCTGTTGTTTACTTAGCTGTGCATTTAGAAAATGGACAAAGAGTGTATTTTACAGCACAGAACGCAGTACAAAGAGCTGCTCAGCCACCATCTACTACATTAACCAGTTTTTTTGAGACATGCCAAAACGATGATTTCGCACAAACATTGCTATATTCTGAAATGCCAAAATATTATACCTGGAATCAATCCTCAAGGAGATTTATACGACGGAAACAAGGAAAACCAGTTCCAGGATATACAGATGTATATTCCACCGATGCGATTGGCCGGATTTATTCAGTACATCCAAGCAATGATGAATGTTTTTATTTACGACTGCTATTAGTCAATGTACGTGGCCCAACATCTTTCCAACAGTTACGAACTGTTGATGGTGAATTGTGTGGATCCTACAGAGAAGCCTGTCAACGTTTGCAATTGCTTGAAAATGACACTCATTGGGATCAAATTCTCAATGATGCTGTAATATCATCACACGCTCATCAAATACGAACATTGTTTTCTATAATCATATCTACATGCTTCCCATCAAACCCAATTGATTTGTGGATCAAGTACAAAGATTATATGTGTGATGATATTTTGTATCAAATACAGAATAGAATGGGAAATCCAAATATACAAATCAGTGAAGAAATTTACAATGAAGCATTGATTTCAATTGAGGACATGTGCTTGATAATGTCAAACAAACTATTAATTCAATTAGGCCTGACCGCGCCCAATCGTCCAATGCATGACGCTTTTAACCAAGAGTTGCATCGAGAAAGACTGTATGATCTCAACGCTTTGAAAGAATTAATTCAAACAAATCTTCCACTGTTAAATGAACAACAGAAGTATGTATTTGAAACTCTTATGAAAGTAACAAATGATGAAACTGGAGGGATTTACTTCTTAGATGCACCTGGTGGTACAGGAAAAACTTTTTTGATTTCATTAATATTACCAACAATTCGCTCACAAAATAAAATTGCACTTGCACTCGCTTCGTCGGGAATCGCAGCAACTTTGCTTGAAGGTGGTCGAACAGCCCATTCAGCACTTAAATTGCCATTAAATATACAAAGCAATGAAACTCCAACCTGCAACGTTTCGAAGAACTCTGCAATGGCAAAGGTTTTGCAGCAATGTAAATTGATTGTTTGGGATGAATGCACGATGGCACATAAAAAATCTTTGGAGGCTTTAGACAGAACCTTAAAAGATCTACGGAGCAATAATAACCGATTTGGTGGTGCAATGATTTTATTAGCAGGAGATTTTCGTCAAACATTGCCGGTGATTCCACGATCAACGCCAGCTGATGAACTCAATGCATGTCTAAAGTCCTCCAGTTTGTGGAAACATGTCAAAGTACTTCATTTAAGCAAGAATATGCGTGTCGAGTTGCAAAATGACCAATCTGGAAACATATTCTCTAAACAACTCATTGACATTGGTAATGGCAAATTTCCTATAGACATGTTGACTGGCTGCATTAACTTTCCTCAAAGTTTTTGTCAGTTAACTCGATCAAAAGATGAACTTATTCAGAAGGTGTTTCCAGATGTTTCTCAAAATTACAGAAACCATGATTGGTTGAGCGAACGAGCTATACTGGCTGCAAAAAACATAGATGTAAATGAATTAAATTTCAAAATTCAAGAACAAATTACAGGCGAATTGAGGATATATAAATCAGTTGATTCGGCTACTAATCAAGATGATGTAGTCAACTATCCACCGGAATTTTTAAACTCGCTGGATTTGCCAGAATTGCCACCTCACAATCTTCAATTAAAGGTTGGATCGGTGGTTATAATGTTGCGAAATATCAACCAACCGCGTCTTTGCAACGGTACACGGTTAGCGATAAAAAAATTACTAAACAATGTGATAGAAGCAACTATACTCAAAGGAAAGTATAAAGGAGAAGATGTTCTCATACCGCGCATCCCAATGATTCCGACTAATGTGCCATTTGAGTTTAAACGACTACAGTTTCCAGTGCGTCTTGCTTTTGCTATGACTATAAACAAGTCCCAGGGGCAATCATTAAGTGTTTGTGGTATTAATCTAGAAAACCCATGTTTCTCCACATGGTCAATTGTATGTTCTGTTCCGTGTTGGAAACCATCAGATTTGTTATCTATGCGCCAGGTAATCAAACAAAACATCGTATACCACAAAGCACTACAATGATAATAATAATATTATGATTCACATGATTAACAATAAAGCGATTACTTACTTTAAATCCTTATATATGTTTTATTTAATATTTTATTCACAACGCCCTATCACAGGGTGACGTTCTGTTCAGGAGAATTTTTAAAATACGTAGGCACAAAACTGCCACATTACAAATCTTTTTGACAGGACGAAGTCTGTCAGGTCATAGTATATTATTAATATATATTTGTAACTAGAAAATAATTAAATTTGACAATTTTTCAAAATCAAACATAAAACTTATAAAAACTTGCGTTGATTTTTAATATTTTTCAGCCTTATTGTAACAATAATATGTGCGAGCCTTGAATTAAATTTTCGCGCTTGCCAACAAATTTTATAATTACTAATTTATCAAACTATAGAAAAATTGAAAATGTTCGTAAACAGCTCAAAAGTGAAAATTTTTGAAAATGAATCAAGTATAATTGATACAAAGATATAGTATAAATTATTAAAGTATCTACAGTTATTTTTTAATTACAACATAAGAAAATCGCTAAATGATTTTTTTTCTCGTGTCAGGCATCATATAATTAAATTTAAAACAAACTTGTAATTTAAGAAACAAAACTAAATAAATAATATCAAATAAGTAAAATATGAATAATAATAACACACTAATATAATGGTAACAAGTATTGCGCGCTAATTATATATTTTCTTTGGTCCAGTATATGGCTGTATTTACCGCCTTCTTGTTGCCTATCATAAGGTCCTCTTGTGTACATGGACTTGGCCCTCTTGGGCAGACAAGTAGGTGTGACGTTGTCTGATCTTGCCCACATATACAAGTTATGTCTTGTTCTCCATATCCCCATTTTCTCATATTTTCTTTTGTCCGTCCTACACCAACACGCAGTCTGTTCAGTGTCTTCCATACCGGCCAGTCTAGGTTGTTACCATGAGGTAATCTTTCTGCTGGTTCCAACCATCTTTTACCATTGGTGTCCGTGATCAGTTTTTTCCACTCATTTAGCCTGCTTAGTAAAGGTGTTTCCGTTAGCTCTTCAGTTATCTTTAGGAAGGACTTTCTTGATTTCAGACGAGAAGTGGGGTCATTTTGGCCGTACATGGGGTGCCTCGTGTCTCTCTTTTGTTTACCGCGTTCAATTTTAGAGGATATCAGACGTCGAACTGATGGTGGTGAGATACCTGCTAGTAGATAAACTTTGTCCATTGGTGTATTTCTTAGGCATCCTGTGATTAGTCGACGTGTTGTATTTAAGGCGATATCTATTTTCTTCGCGTGAGTAGAGCTTCTCCAGACCGGGCATGCATACTCCCCTACTGAGTAGCATAGTGCCATCGCTGAAACCCGTAACGCATGTGGTTGTGCGCCCCATGCTGATCCCGTTAATTTCCGTATAAGACCGTTCCGGGTATTGATTTTCTTACTCGTTTTTTCGCAATGGGTCTTGTATGTTAGTGTTCTATCCAATGTCACGCCTAAATATGTGGGTGTGCTACAGTGAGTTAGTTCTACATCTTCCCATTTCACTATCAATTTTCTGTTGGCCTGCTTGTTTTTCAAGTGGAAAGCACTTACATTGGTTTTACTAGGATTTGGCTTCAGATAATTTGCCCTATAGTAGTTTCCTAAACGGTCCAGTGTTTTAGAAAGTTTTGTTTCCACTACTTCAAAACTATCTTCTTGTACAGCAATTGCCGAATCATCTGCATATACATAGTGTTTTATGTTGTTATCCGTAGATATGGGCTGGTCATTGGTATAGATATTAAAAAGCGTGGGGGCCAAAACGCTTCCCTGTGGTAGCCCATTTCTTATATTTCTCCATCTGCTGTTTTTTCCCGGCTAGTGTTACAAAAAATCTTCGGTTACTCAGTAATGTTTGAATGATTTGCGTAAATTTGTAGTCTCTGGTTATCTGGTATACTTTAGAAAGCAATAAGCCATGGTTAACCGTGTCGTACGCGGACGACAGATCGATAAAGGATACCCCGGTAACTTTCTTCTCTTCGAACCCATTTTCAATATATTGGGTTAGGTTTAATACCTGCCCCGTACATGATTTCCCCGGACGGAAACCAGCTTGTTCCTTTATGAGTTGGTCATCAATGGCAGGGCATAGTCTGTTTAGAAGAATTCTTTCGAGTAGTTTGTATGTGTGACATAATAGAGAGACTGGCCGGTAGCTAGATGGAATATCAGGTTCCTTACCTGGCTTCAGCAGAGCTATTACTTTCGCCTTCCTCCAGATCTTCGGGATCTTTAAAGTACTCCTGATATTATTAAAAAGACTTAGCAGCCATAGTCTTGTGGTTTTTCCAAAGTGTTTTATCTGTTCTGAGAACATGTTATCTAACCCGGCCGCTTTCCCATTCTTTAGTGTCTCCATAGCATCGTCAAGTTCCGTAAGTAGGATCGGATTTCCAAGTTCATGCGTTTCATTGTTTTCCGTTCGTATAATCCTCGGTTTATAAGGTCTGGGTTTTGTCATTTTATTTTTACCGTTCATTAGAAGATGGTGTGCAATTTGGTTTAGTGTCATTAATGGAACCTTTGGTTTTTCTCTTGGATAACTGTCTAAGCGCTTAATGAGGTTCCATGCTTTCTTACTACTCCTTTTCATATCTACTTCTGTTAGTAGGTCACACCAGCGTTTCCTTTTCACCTCAGTTAATAAGTTCATTAGTTCTTCTCCCTTTTCTATCGTATCCTCATCGAATGGGTCGGCCTCATATTTATCGGTGTATTATTCTAGAGTTTCTACTAAATCAGGTGTTAACCCTGGGATGTGCTTTATTCGGCAGCCTCTTGGTATATATTTTCTGGAGATGGTTTTTACTAACTTTGTAAAGGGTTCATAGTTCTCATTTACTGGTTCCAGTGTGGTTACCGCATCATCTAGGGCTTTAGTAAAGGTGTCCCAGTCTGCTTTTTGAAAGTTATATCTCCTCAAAAATGGAGTGTCACATGGTTTAATCACTGCTGTAATTTTGCACAATATGGGTCGATGTTGCGTGTGTGGTATCGGTCTTCCGATTTCCTTTGTACATTGGGGAGCTATCATATCGCTTACAAATATTATATCGGGGTTATAACCTTTTTTCCATCTACCACTGTTGAATGATGGTGGTAGTTTTGGGTCATGGAATAGTGTTAACCTGTTGGACTCTGCCAAAACTTCAACTTTATCGCCATTATTATCTGTTTCGTCGTACCCCCAGTTGGTATGGTGGCTATTAAAATCTCCTATAATAATGTGAATATTTTTAGTTTCGAAGTTAGCTGGTTTGTCGAATGCAAATGTTGAGTTAGGAGGTTTGTAAATAGAGGTCACAGTGCATTTTCCAACTTCTATAGTGAGAATCTCAATGTCATCTATCTCTGTTATTTGGCTTGTCGTTACATCAATTGAGGAGCGGACAAATATAGCGCTTCCATACTTCCTGTGTGGGCGTATTGCAACGAGCTTCATCCCATTGATTCTTGGATTATTCATACCTTCATTCCTATGTGTTTCTTGCACACATAGCACGTCACATGAATTTTCTTTACATAATTCAGCAAGCAGTTCTTCCTTATTTGAGTTTATACCCTCAATGTTACATGAGGCGATCGTCAGTGCTGGCCCTGATAAGGGCCGTTTTTTATCTAGTTTTGTAGAGATCATATGCACCTGGGTTTGAAAAAATTAGCCGTTAGAAACGTTGCCTGGGGTACACCACGTAGAGGTTTTTTCCATGTACCCCATACATAGTATAAAACTATAAAAGATTTGTGAATAATTTATATACTAGCTTATACTTATACATATTTTTGATTCTTATTAAATGACTACAATTAACATGAAACGATTCGAATAAAATTTGAATTTTTTTTTAACAACACTGCCATACTGCGATACGTTCAATATTTTAAAAAACACGCGTTTTTAGTATACACGAAAATAAAAAAAAACCATTGCATAAGAAATTATTATACAATAATTATTATTATTATTATTTGTATAATAATAAAATTGAATTACAATCATGATATACGAAATACGAATATCTTATATAAAGAATAACATGGTGCACATTATACACGCTTCTATGATTGTATGGTTTTATATTATGCTTAAGTCTACTCGTATAATAAACTAGCTGTTTCCGTGTACATTTTCTCCGTAAAAAATGCATCCCAGTTAAATTTGTTGTCAACATTTTAACATTTAGCGTAACATATGAAGTTAAATATATTTTTCGTTTTCTAATTTGGCGAAGGAATAGATGTAAGATGATATTTTCGACATATCAACTTAATAGCTGTTCCGCCAAGCATTGATTTTTTCAGACCATTTAACTGCAACATTTTTTTTTTTTTGTTGAAAGACCCAAATTCCCGTAATTTCTTTACATTTTAAACCAAAAACCAATACTCATAAAGTTTCATTAGTGTGAATCAAAAATAACAAAAATGTTTTGTATTGTATACTACATCAATTATTCACTAATATACTAATTTTTAATAATATAATATTATTAAAAATTAGTATTTATTAGTTATAACTAACAATAATTGATAACACGGATGATCAAAAATATCTTTTTGAGCATATTTGCCGATTATTTAAAAAAATTATAACTCAATTTTCAATTAACTTTTAGAATCATGATTGAACTTACTTAGTAATTTACTCTTTCATAACAAAAAAATCAAGACAATCCGACGTATAGTTTCAGAGAACATGTGTGACAAAGATTTTCATTTTCACATTTATATTTATAGATATACGAAATTAATTTTAACAACAAATAAAAATTTTCTGAGAATAGGAAGAAAATAATTTATTTAAGTGGAAATAATATCATAAATAAAAAAAAAAAACGAGAAACTGAACAAATAAGGGTAAAAAACAAAAAAAGTTTTTGAGTGAAAAGTAATGCAATTATTGTTGTACAAGAATCGTATATACGTCACGCACGCAAACATTTTTAACAAACGACGATGTAATAATAATGTGCCCGGAAATTTTTTGGAGTTAATCGCTTTTATTATTTATCAATCAATAAACGTAGAATGTATATGTTACGGTAAATGATGTTAAATGGAAATTAACGTTATTCACCGGTTATTAACGTTATTTACCAAATATACAGGTAATTATCGTTATAAACTGGATAATCACGTTAATGACCAAATACACAGGTAATTGATGTTATAAATCAGATAAGCGCATGAATCTCAAATACAACAATTTGAAAAATTATGTAAGTACCCAGATATTTTTAAAAATAGAATAAATGCATTATTATTTTTTATTTATTTTTACAAGTTTTACTCCCATGACATTTAATATAACATAATTTTTCAGCCCCAAGGTAGGCACAATGCTTATTGTTAGAGCTGGAATTTTGATGCAAAGGCATCTTTTTTTCTGATGTTTTGAAACGTTGATCCGTAAGTACAAAATGCTATTGTTGATTACCTATGCATAACTATTATAGGTATGAAATTATTAAAAAGTTATGTACAGATATATAACAGTTTTATATAATATATACCATACTATAATGGAATTTAAAATTATAACATAAAATATTATAATAGAAGTTGATATCTATATTATATGTATTATGAATTTTTTTGTCGCCAATCTGTAAATATAATGCAGTAAAAATGTCATAATACTAGTAAAAATTAATATTACTTAACTCTGAATATTACGTTAAAATGTAGCTGAAAACCCATGTAATTTATTCAATTGCATATTATTTATCATACAGAATGCATTTAAAATAAAAGTATGTATATTAACTAGATTTATGACATATTGACTGCAGTATACATTGAATCCAACAAGTGAACAGGATAATTTACTATATAAATAAATAATATAGATATTATTGGTAAAAATATTAATGTTTATTATTATTAAAAAAAAAAAAAAAATATTGCAATCTTGCAAATAAATATGTATAAATAATGAGATAAATAATAATTAAATATTATTCAGAAATTCTTCAATTTTTGTCACTGTCACCAACAGCATCTTCATCTAGCAGTATTCTTCTGGCCTTTTCTTTTTTCCTGATAATCAAATAATTATGACATAATAGTTTTATTGATTAATTACAATTAATATTAATAAATGTATTCTTATGCTTCTTCTCTTTTAAATCTCTGTGGAGCTTGAACCAACCACTTTGCAACAATATCTCCATACATTTTGTTGGTTAGATCAGCCTTAGTAAAACGAACAAGTACTGAGAACAAAAAATTGTAACTAAAGAAAAAATAACACTATATATAAACTTTTATGTTTACATAAATATATATATTATAGATATATAATTATTATATTATTACTTGTATGAACTAAAAGTACAAATAAGCATGCATATATTTATTTTATAATTTATTTGAGTACAGTTAACTAACTTAAAACGGCTTTATTAAATTGTCTAAATTCATTGCTGAATGAACTTTTTGATCCTTTTCCTTTCCAACTGTACTGACAAGCTAACTGGTTAGAAATTACATATGATAGTGCGTTGTTAATTATATCTTCATAATCAGTTCCTCCTAATCTTTTGAGATCATTCACCTAAATAATGTATAAAAAATTCCAATATTTCATTTAAATAATGACATGACTTAAAACAGAAAAAAGAGCATAAATGTCAACCTGCATTAATTAAATATGAAAGGTAGTATAATACCAGTAGTGCTAGTACAATAATTATATACATATAATTACAAATTATTAGTTTTATATTCTAACCAAGCCAACTAATAGTCATATAAATTTGTTAAAAATGAAGCAGTTATATCGATCAATATTATTTAATAATTACCTTTTTCAGATGACTTTTGTTTATTTATTTCAGTTTGGCATATATTTGAACTTTGAACTTCTGTTAACAGTTTCAAATGTACTAATTAGATACAATTGTACAATAATTAAGTTACATAAATTCAATATTTAATTTAGATTTAAAAAAGTACTCTGCAGTTATAGCTAGCTGGTGGTATATTAGGTATAATAGTATTAGTTATTAGTGTTGTACATACTTTTTGTCATCGATTTAGGAGTGAAATTAATTGTTTCAACGATTGGATCTGGAAACAGTGGAAACTGAGAAATTATAATATCTTCATGTACATTATGTTGAGCTACAAAATAAAACACAAAAAACTATATATTTTTAATTAATATATTGATAATTTCCATTTGTATTACTTTGGTCTTCAGAAGTTGATTGAGTTTTTAACAAATTTGTATTTTCAATATCATCATCTTTTTGGTCGCTTGTAGTACTATCAGAATCAGATTCGGATAATTTATTAAATAAGTTTTTTTTTGCTCTTAGTTGCCTTTTAGCTCGTTTAGCCTTAGGATCTGCATCACTAGCACTTTCTACTTCTGAATACTTTTCAGCTATTTTTAATTTATGCATTCCTTCTTGGTATGTGTCTGTGTAATAAATTAAGTTATAAGCAAAAGTTTAGTGTACAATATACAGCACACGAAGTCTTATAATTAAGAATATACTAAGTGCACTAACTAATTGTTAAGAATATAAAGAAATTTAGTTGATATAGATACCTATTCTATATTATTTATATAAATGCAATAATTATACTTGTTCTGCACAAAACTTTTTTGATAGGATATATTCCCCAAGATGGATCATTAGACCTAGGCACAACTTGACTTGATACCATTTTAGAATATATCATTTTGTTTTCAATTAAAGGCCAATGACATTTTTTGCGATCTGCAGCTAACCAAATTGTAGGAACTAGATTGATGCCATCAGTAAATTCAACAACACTGTACTCCATAATTAATTATTGTATCGTATTAATACCTATAATTATATATTAATGAACACAATTAAAATAATATATTAAATATTTACAATTTTTAAAATATTCCTTTTGGATATGATATAATATAATGTATTTACAGTTTAATTAATTTTCATATTAGGTATGTAGTTGTATACACATTATATAATAGCATGTATAGCACAAATTTAACTTGTACTCGATGTTTAGTAGGTATAACTGAATTATGGAAACTCGTCGCGATCTTTTTGAATTTATGCAAACAATTGAGGGTGACAGTAGTACAAAAATTCAATATGTGCAAAATAACATAAATAAGGTGTTTAAATGTGACCAATATTCTGATGAAATCTTGGATTCTATTAAACAAGCCATATATCGTGTTTGCAGCGAAATTTTTAAACGATGGAAAAAAAGTAATAGGACCAAAGTCATTTTTTATAAAAATAATTCTGAATGGTTAAAAAAAACAATTTACGAAGTATCCAAGAATTCCACTAAAACCACTGATGAATTACCTTCTACATCTAAAGGGGGTCGCCCAGAAATACCTTTTGAATTGTGCAGTGAAAGATCAAAGCGTAGAAAAACGGAAACATTTCGAACACAAATTTCTAAATCTGAATTGACATATGCTGCGACTATGACTTTACGATCATTGGGAGAAGAGGATGCTGCAAAACTATTAAAAGAATCTACTAGCACTACTCCTACTAGGGCATCTAAAATCCGAAAATGTTGGGAAAATAAAAATAAAAAAATTAATGTCACTCGCATGAACGAAGACAAAGCATTGTCCTTACTAGTTAATGCTAAATTAAGTAAACATCAGTATCAACTTATTAGGTCAAATACCATAGAAAACGATTCTGATATATACCCACCTTATAATTTAATAAGAGAAGCAAAAACACGGTGCTATCCCCCAAAAGAAGCGTTTAAAATTACAGAGACTCTAGCTGAAATCAATCTTCAAGAACTTCTTGATCACACGGTTTTTCGTATAATACAATGTCAGTGGAGTGTAGTTGATAGTTTTTCAGTCGAAAATATTACTTCTATGATTTTGATTACGAAATGGGGTTTCGATGGCAGTACAGGTCATAGTGAATATAAGCAAATATGTACCGAAGATTTTGATGACTCAAAAATACTCTTAACATCATTAGTACCTATTCAATTATTTATAAATACATCTTATTCAAACAAACAAATTATATGGAAAAATCCTCGGCCGTCCTCTACAAGGTATTGTCGACCGATTCGTTTTCAGTTTAAAAAAGAAACAACAGAAGTAAATTTAAATGAAAAAGAATATGTCGAAAATCAAATTAAAGAATTAAAACCAACAAAATTATCGATAAATAACTATAATATAGATATTTTACATGATATGCAGCTTACAATGATCGATGGGAAAGTTTGTAATGCGATTACATCCACCACTTCAGCACAAAGATGTTATATTTGTAATGCTACACCAATCGAAATGAACAAAATCGAAAAAGTTATGAATAAGGAGATAGACCCAACGACACTTCGTTTTGGCCTTTCAACTTTGCATGCGTGGATTAGGTTTTTTGAATATTTTTTACACGTTTCTTATCGTCTAGATATAAAAAAATGGCAAGTAAGAGGTGAAGACAGATCCAAAGTTTTATCAAGAAAAAAAATAATCCAAGAAAAATTTAAAAACATTATGGGGTTAAAAGTAGATTATGTTAGATCAGGTGGTGAAGGAACATCCAATGATGGAAATACTTCTCGTCGATTTTTTGATGAACCTTCAAGGGCAGCTGAAATAACGGGAAAAAAAAGAAACCCTTATTATACGTTGTGCAACAATTCTTAAAGCTATGTCATGTGGTTATGAAATAAATGTAAAAGCATTCAGTGAATACGCAATTGAAACTGCTAAATTGTTAGTAAAGGAATATCCTTGGTACTATATGCCAGCTTCTGTACACAAAATATTATTACACGGGTCATCTGTAATTTCTGCTGCTTTACTTCCTATTGGTCAAATGTCCGAAGAAGCACAAGAAGCACGCAATAAAGACCTTAAAACTATTCGTGAAAATAATGCTAGAAAATGTTCTAGAATCGAAACAAATGAGGACCTGTTACATGGACTATTAGTGTCATCTGATCCGCTTATTTCAAGTCTCAGAAAATTACCTCCCAAAAAAATGTCATCATTTTCAAAAGAAGTATTACAACTACTGACTGCAGTTGAACCAACAAACGATTTCGTGGAAAATAGTTCAAGTGACGGAAATTAATACAAAATATGTTTGTTACTGTATTTAATATTTTTTTTATTTTTATTTTTTATATGAGTTATAAACAATTTACAAAGTTATCATTTGTTTAGTTAATAATATGTAAGTTTCACTCTTTAATAAATTATATATTTTCAAAAATCAGATTTAAAAATAATTATTACAAAATAATCTATTTCAGAAAAATAACTATATGTAGTAAAAATATCGTTAAAATGAATAAAAATGTATATTAAATATAAAAACCACTTTAAATTCATATTTGTGTAATTAATTAATATAAAAAATTAAAAGTTAAATTGTTTTATAAAATATGTAGTTTTGGCCACAAAAGTATGATATCTGGCCCACTGTGCATCGATGGGTAAATAGGAACACGTTTTATAACATTTTTTAAAAAATAACTTTTGGACATAGAGTAATTATTTTTTATCTCAAAACTGCCCCATTGTTCATCCCTTTCAAAAATACTTCCAAAAAAAAAAAATCTTTTAAACTGAAGGTTTTATTGCAAAAACCGTTCCTATTCGCCCCATTTTACGGTACAACACATTTCCCGAGATAAACACGTTTCAGGATTACGTCGTCGAGAACTTAAATCGGACCAACAGGTATCCACAATGCAATTTATAAATGAAAATCAGCTATCTCCGTTTTCTTATGAGTTGACTAATGCCTTTCTTTCGGCCAATATATCACTTAATAAACTTGAAAATCCAATATGAAAAGGTTTTTTAGAGAAGTGAAGTATACCAATAAATCAATTCCTGATAGATCGTCAATTAGAAAAAATTATGTGAGTAAATGTTACAATAATACCATGAATAAAATAATTCAATATGTAGGAGATAAAAAAATTTGGGTTTCTTTGGACGAAACAACAGACGCAGAAGGACGTTTTGTTGCAAACTTCATCGTAGGTACGTTAGAAGTCGGTTGTCCTGGAAAAACATTTCTTTTAAACTGTGAGGTATTAGAAAAAGCGAACCATTCTACTGTTGCTAAAATGTTCAATAATTCTCTATCTTTATTGTGGCCAGGAGGTATTCAATATGACTACGTATTACTATTTGTAAGTGATGCAGCACCTTACATGGTGAAAGCTGGAAAGTCAATCCAGTCATTTTATTCAAAAATGATACATGTGACTTGTATTGCACATGCACTTCATCGAGTCGCTGAAGAAATAAGAGAGAATTTTTCGAAAGTAGATAAATTAGTTTCAAATGGGAAAAAAATATTTTTGAAAGCACCTTCCCGCGTAGATAAATTTAGAGAAATAGCAAAAGGTATACCTTTACCGCCGCAACCAGTTATAACTCGTTGGGGAACGTGGTTAAACGCTTCAATTTATTACTGCGAACATTTTGAATCTATCAAAGAAGTTGTCAATGCACTTGACAGTGAAGACGCTATTTCTATTAAAAAAGTGCAAACAGTAATTAAAAGTTCTAGCTTACACAGGAATTTAATTTATATAAAAGCGCATTTCGGTACATTGCCTGAATCAATTACTAAATTAGAAACTCGTGGACAGACTTTATCAGAATCTTTAAGAATATTAGGAGATATAAGAGTTTTAATAAATAAAGCACCAAATGAAATTGGTGCTGCAATAAATAAAAAAATGGAAAATGTTTTAAATAAAAATAAAGGGTTGAAAATACTACAAAATATTTCAAAAATTATAAATGGTGAAAAACCTGATGAAAACAATATACCAGAAGATATAACGACAGACGATATTTCACACTTTAAATATGCTCCAGTATCATCAGTCGAAGTCGAAAGAAGTTTTTCCACTTATAAAAGTATATTATCCGACCAAAGACGATCATTTTTATTTGAAAACATAAGACAGCATATCATTATACAGTGCAATAGCGATTTTGTTCAGGTTAGTATTAATAACAACTAGCAAAAACAAGTTAAAATATTAAAATTTTTTTTTAAATTATTATTTTAGAATGAATAATTATTGAATAAGAAAACAGAAGCATAAAAAAACAAGTAACAACGTACAATAAACAAAAAAAAAAATACTGTAGTGTAATTAAAATTTTTTTTTTCTAATTTAACATATTTTTAACATTAATCAATATAATTTAAATGCACTTTTTTAGTTTTTTTAGTCATTTTTGCATTTTTTTAAGGGCATTTTTTGAAGTTTTTTAGGACATTAAAATCCCAGCCCTACTTATTGTTATTACAGCTAGTCTTGCAATGACAACGCTGGTACCTTCGAGGGCTCGCAACCGAATTATTACTAGCTACTTCCCTCAGTGTCAACTGTCTACCATCTGCTAATTTTATCACATTGTCCATGTCTAATAGATTTTATTTGCAAACAGCTATTTTTGGAATGTGAAATAATATTTTTAGAAAACTATATTCCGTATTTATAAAATAATAAAACAAATTTTAATTTTAATAGTATATTTTTTCATTAAGAATTAACTTACAGAGTTTGTATAAATCATGTTCAACTTGAGTGACAACTGATAGTATATTATGCATAGAACCACGAGCTCTATCAACGTTTGGTATAAATACACATACAGTTAAGCCTATTTCAAGCTGAGGAAACTTTACTTTAGAAAATTTCATCATTTCCTCTCCTTGTTTTTCTAAATTTTTTTTTTGAATTTTTACATGCAATACAAATATTTTCTTGACAATCATCAAAATAATATTTAAAATAATTTTCAAATA